CATTAAGTCTTATGTTATTAAAATTTTACCCCTCATTTATCTAGACACATTTGAACAAAAACCATTGTCTAACTCTAATCCAACATATTTAGTAGTTACTTATGAAAAAACAATTACATAGAAAGTTCAAAAACCTTTCATTAAGTCTTATGTTTTTACAATTTTACCCCCCATTTATCTAGACACATATAAACAAAAACCATTGTCTAACTCTAATCCAACATATTTAGCAGTTACTTATGAAAAACAATTACATAGAAAGTTCAAAAACCTTTCATTAAGTCTTATGTTATTAAAATTTTACCCCTCATTTATCTAGACACATTTGAACAAAAACCATTGTCCAACTCTAATCCAACATATTTAGTAGTTACTTATGAAAAACAATTACATAGAAAGTTCAAAAACCTTTCATTAAGTCTTATGTTTTTACAATTTTACCCCTCATTTATCTAGACACGTTTGAACAAAAACCATTGTCTAACTCTAATCCAACATATTTCAACACAAGTAGTTACTTATAGAAAACAATTACATAGAAAATTCACAAACCTTGTACTTCATAGCTCGATGAACTGCTTCTTAGAGTTGAGACCCCAATTTTAAGAAGGCCTGAAACTTGTTTGATGTATTGAGTGCTTGCTTGCATGTATGCCAAACTATGGCGAGAAAATGAACCATTTTTAGGGACACGAGGAGAGAAATGAATACTTCTAACTGACTTCCATCCAGAAGACACTTTCATTTGTAAATTGGCAAAATGGCGTTTTACAGTTTCCATTTTCACTTTTGGTGATTTTATTGATGAAAAGTTGCATCCCGTAGGTGGATCCAATGTCATTTTCACCTTACGTACTACACCATTGAATAACAGTGTCAGCATTGTACTTCTATTAAGTCAAGAAAGAAACACACAAAGACAAATATGCCATGCATCACATGACATGATGTTGGTGGGATAGGGACTTTGAGGGTGTTTGGGATTTCATCTAAAAACAACTTATTGACTTGTTGACTTTTTGAAAAGTCAATAACTTCTCATTAACCCTTCAAAAAGGAGATTTCAGTAAGTTAGAATTTCTAACTTTTCAAAACTCCTTATAACTTTTGGGGTTGTAAAAGACAAATACCCCTTAAAACAACTTATTGACTTATTGACTTTTTCCACCATAAAAGCTAAATCCAAACACTTTTTAAAAAACTCATTTCTCATCACCATAAGCAGTAAGTCATTTTGAAGTTCAAAATGAAATCCCAAACACCCTCTTTGTCTTGATATCTCGTGTTTGCAAAAGTCAGAAATACCCTCCTCGTCCTCATTATTGAATATAGCCCTAGAAAGCTTGTCCAGTGTCCAATCATGTCATGTGGTGTCCACATGTAACAAATGCAACATTAGTAATAATAATCTTTTACAAGAGTCCAATACCTTGCACCTTCATCTTCCCGACCATTTTCTTTGGTTTTTGGGTAGCCCCTTTGCTATCAATTTCAGAAGATTGCTTAACAAGCAATTCTTCCTCTGATTGTAGCAACATTTGTTGCAAACTGTTATTAAAGATTAATGTTAAGAGTACAAAAACAAGCACAAAACATTCATAATGCTTTCAGTCTTGTAAATCGATATTGTAAAGGGTATTTTAATGTACTTTACTCGTACCAATATGGATGATGTACTTTATTTTTGATAATAGCATACTTACATTTTGCTACAAATACAGGCATTGTACTTTATTTGTTACATATTGCTATTATCTGTAAAGAAATGTAAAAATAAATTACATTTTACAAGTTTAGGAGTTACATACTGCTATTGATAACAAGAGTAAAGTATGTTGCTATTTCATGCAATTTTACCTAATGAAAATGCAATATCCATTTCAATTGTATCCAATGAAAGTTGATATTTCAAAAGTCACTCTCAATGTTGGTATTACTCATATCCATAAATATCCAAAATGCAAAGTGTTGCACTTTTTAAGTATATCGTATTTGATTATTTGCTAAATTGTACAATCAAATATTTTTAATATGTTAACAAAAAATACTCATAAATAGGATATAAATTATAACAAAAACTAAACTCACCCAAAGGTGCTTCGTAGTAGAGCACATTCATTTTCCAAAAATATGGGGGCTTCCATGCAACCCTTTGCCCAAGCATGTAGACACAGTCGAACACATGCATCATATGCAATCACAGCATGCCAAGGCCCCAATGAGCTAAATTTAATAAAAATTAAATAAGTTTGTAAATTTTATTAATAAATTTAATAAAAATAGTATAATATTTAACATACCTTGCATGAAACGTTGGAAGACGTGTAGGAAAAGAACCGGAACCAGTTTTGACACCAACATTCCTATCACAAAGAAAGTAAAAGATATTAAGATATAAATAAACATCAAAAAAAGAGGTAATGTTACTTATATTAACTTTTTATGATATGTGTAATATAATAATATATATAGTTTTAACTTTACTCTTTTAGTTATAAATTATATAATGATAATTAATGAATTTTTTATTTACATTAGAACCCATATAAGGTCATAATAAAAAATATATGTTCTAGTTATTTTTGGAAGATAAAAATACACTTTATTTAATTAACATCATGAAATTACAAAAATAAAGATACATGTCATTTCATATGTGTCATTGAAATGACATAAATAAAAATGGGCAATATTGCAAATAAAAAAGGAATGAAAAAAAATAATATCATAGCTAAGAAAAGAAAATTAATGAAATTAAAGGAATCACATCCTTTCAAGAACTATCCATTCCATTTCATCAGACAAAACAAATAGCTTTTTTTTTTTAAGGAAAATCACATGATGATGAATTATAGTTTACAAATTTTGAGGAAGTAAAAACAAACCTAGATGGGTTTGAGGTCTCCTGTTTATGACTCATTTTCAAATCTACAACAGGAGTCTTCTTCTCTACAGTTGACTTAGCTACAAAGTCAACCGAGTCAGCTGTAGATGGAGTATAATTAGCTTTAGAAACTGGAGAATGCTCCTTCTCTTGCTTGATTTCCCCAAATGAACCTGAAAATGGAGGTGCACTTGGAAAATCTTCCTTGGATGCTTGTCGATTCTCAATATTTTTACCATTTGACTCCTGTAATAGTTGACTCTCAAAAGTCAACACCAAGTCATAGCAAAGTAAACTCCTTTTTCACCAAAATTAGATAAGAGAAATAAGAGAATTGATCGATTCTTTATGAATTGGAGTGAAATGGAATTCAATTGCATTCCATTCCGGAGTTTGATTGCAAAAATGAATACATAATTGATTTCTGTTGGAATTCATAAAAGCCAATAGGTTAAGGAATTCAATTTTCCTTCAATAAACTCATGGAATTCAACTCCAATCCTCCCTCATTTGTACAAAATGATGGAAATACCATTTCTAAACCGTATTAGTAGATGATAATTTAAATATTTTTGCAAGTTTTAAATGAATTTGTTAACAAAAATCGATAAAGGACAATTTACGTTCCAAATCCTTTGACATGTTTACAAACTAAGCAAAAAATATACAAAGGAATGGAATTGAATTCCATTCCAATTTCCTTAACGGATTCCAATTCTTTCAAACACACAAAGACTTAAACTAGATGAAAGTGAAGCTAGATTTTGTACCTTTCTTGAAGAAGTATCTCCATTAACATGTGATGAAACATAAGACGAATAACCATCCGAAACATACGAATCTTTATGTGGCAAATTTTCCATACTTGCCCCTACTTGTGTACTTGAAAACTCTGAGCTTCTAGAATCATCTGACTCATCCTCCGTATAAACACTGCTTCTCACATTATACCTCTCACCTCCCCTCATCAACAATCGATCCGCCACATTCCTCATTTCAATCGAAGAGCTCACATCACTAGAGTACACATGATACCGTGGGCCCCGTTTCACAGGATCATGATCCCGGTGCCTATTGCTACTACCAGAAGGAACTCTATCATCATGAGGGGAGGAATCCACTGAGTATCTTCCACCGTATACCTCTCCTTCTGAATCACTTGACATGTCTTCAGAAGTGGAATTAGTGTCATCTCTTGGCAAGACTTGAGATATTGGAACAACACCATTTTTGAATTTTGAAGGTTGAGGCAATCCGAACCCTCGAGAGTTGTTTCTAGAAGTGATTGGATCGAATCTTGTTCGTTGATTTGATGTGGAGGGAGGGGTTTCTTTTTTTGGATTGTTGGATCCCTGTATTTGAAAGGATTTGAATTTAAAATCACCTTTTATGAGCAATAGTTGCATATGGAAAACCAACAAAGTTCATTCAAATCCTTAAGTGAAAATGGAAAACCAGCAAAACTTATTCAAATCCTGAAGTGAATGCTAATGTTCTGAATTTTTGAATCCAAAGAAACAAATTTTAAAAATGCTCAGGTGCAAATTGAGAACGAACCATCAGAAATTTGAGATTTCAGTGATTTTACAGATAAATTTTCTATAATTATAATTCAGAGCAGAATATTACCATTTATGAACAATAGTGCAGGTGAAAGATCGATAAATTCATTCAAATTCTCAAGCGAATGATGAATTTTTTGGAATCCAAGAAACAAAATATAACAAATTTGAATTTTTGAATCCAAGAAAAAGAAAAAAGCAAAACAAATCCCCGTATATACAAATTGAGAACGAACATGCAAAATTTAATGAGACTTTAGTGATTATGTCGAAGAAAAGGTAAGATTTTAACTGAAAAGCCCTAGAATAAAAGATAAATAAAAGCCCAGATACAAATTGTAGATAACCAACGATAATATCGAATACGAGGTGATTAAAATAGTAATTAACATCAATAAGCAAAGCGTAATCTCAACAATTTACTTGACGAAACTGAAGTGACTCCATAAAACCCCAAATAATATTATTTAAAAATGCAATGTGGAGATGTTGATAACCAACCTCTTTGACCCATCTTAGAGCATTTGTATCTAGCCCTTCTGTAAACATCATATGCTCTTTTTGAGCGAAATCACATCCAGCCACCACAACTACAAGGAAAATTGAAAAGGACGAACATCAAGATCTGAATCTTAGAAACCCAGAAAGGTAAAGTAATTACAGTTACAAGTAAAACTACTAGTTTAGAGCTGAGTCATACTATAATATGTTGAAGTAGTAGTGTTTCAATGGACTCTTTTGCTGCTCAAATCAAGTGTTTTGATTCTTTGAATGTGTAGCAGTCTAGCAGAAGAACGTATAGATGGAAAGAGACGTTAGGGGAAATTTTTGAAAGAGAGAGAGAGAGAGAGAGAGAGAGAGAGAGAGAAAGTAATCAGATTGATTGAAGATAAAAAGGAACAAAATGGGCATTAAAATTTTCAAAAAATAAGAAGATGCTCGTGATGACTCAGAAATCAGGGACTTTTGGTTTTTTGCTGTGCTTTGCTTTGCAGAAAGAAAAATGAAAAAGGCCATTAGTTTATTAAATTTGATTTTATGGAGTGGGGTTTACAAATGGCATTTTATTTAACATGTTTTAATTTATATAATAAAGTAATTTTTATAAGAAATATTTTAATGATATTTCAGATTAAATTTGGAAATAAACAATTTTAAACTCTATTTTACATTCTGAATATTAATATAAAAAGAAAATATGGCTGGATATGTTCTTATTACAAAAAAGATATTTAACGACTGTCACACATTTCTTCTTAACCAAATTTGAGTTACAAACATTTTTGTCCTACAATACAATATAATCACACGTGTTTCATTTAAAACCATTTGATTATATATATTTATAAAAATATAAAATGTTATTGGATATATGTTTATTTAACATTGCATACATAATTAAATATTCTAATCATTTAATTAGTTATATTGATTATTAGTGCAATATCTTAAATCTTTAAGAAAATTAGGATCAAAAAATTATATAGATTATAATCAGATTAACTAATTCAAAGTAACAATTAGATGAAAAAGGAAACACATTACTATTTTATTATGGTTAATTATATGAATAATAATATATTGATTTATTTGTTTGATATAAGATTTATTTCAATAATATAATATATATTAATGTAAATTTCAAACTCAAAACAACTTCATCAATTTTCTATCATATAATATATGAAATTATAAAAATATCATTCAAATACAAAACAATATCATCTATAACACTATTGTCATTTATGAATAACTCAACAAATCAATCGTCACAAACAATAAAAAAAATGTTGATAAA